TACTAGGCAAGACTCCAGCCAGCAGCTGAGGATGCCATTGCCAAGTGCAGGACGCTTTTGTGGGAAAGGTGTCCTCAGATAGAATATAAATATTTATAGGGCTGCAGTAAATAGCATTAAGACAGGGGCCTGACTTTGAGTTCCCAGGGAGGATCTCACCTTGGAAGGTCTGCTCACACCTAAACTAAGGGCAGGAAGAAAAGCAATGTCAGGCAACTTAGAGACAAAAACAGCCAGGACCTCAGATATGGGTTCCCTGTTCTGCTACTTTGGCAAATCCCATAGCCTACTAGTCTTTGTGGCTCCTGTTAGGCTATTCCCAGAGGTGATGTTTCCTTCATTTATTCTCTAGCAATCAACAAACCTTTGTGAAGTACCATTTAGCCTTAGATGGAACTAAAATATCTTTTTAAAATTATCTAATTTAAAACAATCACCCAATTTGCAACATTTTAAAATATTTGAAATTATATCTTGTTGTGTCACAATCCCAGGGGTTAACCAAAAATGAGAGCACCCGGAAGATGAACTACTGTAGGAACAAGCATTTTATGGTGGGTTGGAAGAGTTGTGTCATTTATAAAGAGGCACATTAATAGTACAGTGACTGGCACATCATTGGTAGTCAATAAAATAACTGTTGAAAGGCCCTGACTGGTATGGCTCAGTGGGTTGGGTACTGTCTTACAGATCAAAACGTCGCCAACCCAGGCGTGTGTCTGTTGGGGCACCTGCCTGGGTGGGGGCCTAGGTCCCCGGCTGGGGGCAGGCCAGAGGCAAGCAATTGGTGTTTCCCATCAATGTTTCTCTCCTTCTCTTTCTCTCTCCCTTCCCCTCTCTCTAAAAATAAATAAAGATAATCTTAAAACAATATATTTGTTGAAAGAATAAATGCAGGAAGGGACCTTTTCTGATTTATAGTTATATACTCAACCTTTAGACCAGTGCCTGGCACATTAAAAAAAATTATATTTTGATGGAATAACATATAACTAATTGTGTGTGTGTGTTTTTTTCTTCTGCAACCCTTGCATGGTGATTACATACGAACTTGATGTACAGATTCAATATTAAAATGTCAACTGCTGCTTAAGAGACCAGGATTTGGTTCCAAGACAGTGTAGCATAACTTTCCTACTAGAATGTAACCTCATTCTAGGACAGAGCTCTGAGTCAGCTGTGCCTTAATATCTTTAATAAAAAATACATTAAATAAATGAATGCTAATTTCCAGCAGCCTATTCTAAAATAAAAAGAAGTGCAAGGAAAAGACAAGTTCCTCTACTGTAATAACAAACATACCTTCAGACGTTTTAGCTCATTTCTAGCCTGTGAGAAAATGGTACCATGTGAAGAAGACATCCATGCAACTGGGCCAGCACCTCTGATTAATTTTTAATCCAACTTTTATGAGTTTTCTCAGTGTTAACCACAATCCAAGTGGGGGTGTATAAATTTAAAACAAAACAAAACGAAAAGATTGTCTTTCAGGAATGAAAAATAAATGTAATCTGAAATCAATATTTATGAAGTTGTGATTAATTGACTGATGACCAAATGATTACAAAACGTCTGTCTAAACATCTACTCAAATTTATTAGCTTTGATCAAAAAAATTAAAAAACAATCTGAACTGGGCCAATGAAAGAATAATGCATTCCTAATCAATTTTTAATAGCACTTAAGATTTTATATTTTTTTAACTTGCTTTTAAATAATTTATCATAAAAATGATTCTGATTTAAACAAGGGGTAAAAGGTGTTCCATAGCTATTTGATGGTTTTCTTAGGAAAGAAATTCAATTATGACTGACTTTTTATTACTGAATTACTTTATTAATAATAATACATCTTGCACTTACACAAAGGCATTGGGCCAACATTCTCAGAGTGTCCAAGTAAGATCTAGGATTTAGCTCCAATTCTACCATTATCTGGTGGTTTACCTTATGTGTGCCTCAGTTTTCTCATTTGTGAAAGGAAAGACCTACATAAAAACCCCTAAGGTCATTTCTAGTTCTAGACATTGATGATTCTAAGCATTTAGGCGGGTTTAGCCCATGCCAGGTGCTGTATCTGATGGAACTCTTCAGTTTTCAGGCCTCCCCCTCTGGCTAATAAGACTTTGAGAAAGAAATGAAACTGAAAGTCAATGAGAGACTTTCCTTTGTTTTCCTGTTAGAGTAATGGCAACATTATTTAACAATGTTGGTCAAATAATGACCATTTATTTTTAAAAAAAAAGAAGAAGAAGAAGGAAATCCCCTTCATAGAGCAGAGGGAAGACATAATTCATGGTCTTAAACCACCTGCATTATTAAAAGCAAAGCCTGGGAATTGCCCTGGAATCAATCTGGACCTAGAGAGTCCTAATCAGCTGGTATTGCTAACAATATTATTTAGATGAGTGTGTGTGTGCGTGAGCGGGCACGCTCATCCACAAAGCATTAGTGAGCAACAGATGCATGATCCTATTTGTGCTTATGCATACAGTAGTATATGAATTAAAATGTTTGTAAGGATGCTCTAGGATGTTAATAGTGATTACCACATAGGACTGAGCGGTGGGACATGAGTGTAGAGGAACTTCTGCTTATTATTTTATACATGTTTAGATGGCTTAATTTTCTTAAGGTGAGCCTTATTATTTTTATATTTAACAAAAAGAAATAGTCTTCCATTCTGAAGTGAAAAACAAGTGAGGACAGTATCTAAAAGAGCCTGGGTCTATCAAAGGAAAGTAGTTTGTAGCTAGAGAAAATTTGGTTTGTGAAATAGTCACTTAATACAAGATGCTAGATAATTCAGATACAATCCCTAACTTCAAGAAACAGTTTGTTGTGGGGGCAAACACATAAACAACCAACCATAACACAATGGGATTAGCACAGGAACAGACTGTTAAACAGTACTGAGAAGCTGTAACATGACAGTAAATGTGGAAAGAGATGTTAAACAGTACTGAGAAGCTGTAACATGACAGTAAATGTGGAAAGAGATGTTGGAAATACTCTAGATTCTAACACTCTACCTAAAATGTAGGTTATGTTTTTAAAATTTGTCTTTGCGACTGAGTGTTAACACCAGTCACCAGGATGATTGAACAAAAACGAACTTGTCCCAGTCGCAATGAAAAAGTCTTTTTTTTTTTTTTTAATTGTCATCAACACATCTTCCTACTACACTGTTTCCAGGGGTGGATGCCAGAGGCAGAACAGTCTCAGTCCTGCATCCTACTCAGAGAACGGGAGTGACAAGTCCTGAATACAACCTTAGGTATCAGAGAGGTAAAAACAGGGAATGGGCAAGATGAAAATATAGAAGAACACAATAATATGGGGAAAGGAGCACAGCAAGAGGGGGAAACTCTAATGACATTGAGTAATGATCTGGAGGTTTCTCATTCTGAATCCTGAGATCTACAGCCAGGAATGTGAAAGATGTATTAGTAAACATGTGAATTCTAGTCCTGATATGAATATGTCTTCAAATAGCCAGGAAATAGCCAAACCAGATGACTTTTCTGCAGGCACTCTGAAAGAGTGACTATTGAACAGACAATTAATCTGACTATTTTGTCCAGTTTCCCAATTCCAAGCACGTGATAGTCTCCAATGCCTATCTAGAAAGTGAAGTTCCTGAGCTGTTTGGAAGAATTCTGTTACCAATGAGCCTTCTTTGAACTGGACTTGGGCTTCTTCAAGTGAACTACTATCTGCTCCAATATCACTATTGTCTGTTCCTTTTATAGACCTGATAGTAGGCATCCATATACATTTTACCAACGAGGAAACTAAGAAGCAGAGGTTAAATAAATTGTTTGAAGCCAGGAGAACTGGGAAATTGTTCCCGCAAGGATTTTTAACCTCACACTCCAGATCCAGAAACTTTCTTTTAACCACGAGCCTGCTCCTTGTGATTTATACTGCATCTTTTTCCGAAAGATTAGTCAAGTAATTCCATTGGTTTTGTTTCTAAATCTCCTTATGCATTGATTGTATTTGTTTGCATAAATTGATCCCATTGGCCCTTCCTCACTTAAAGCTGCAGTTCAATTCCAATTGTGTTATACTCAAAATTCATTTAGGAACTTTCAGAGTTTTCATTTTCATCGGAAGGAAATGAAAACAACCTCACAGCATTCTCCTTCGGAGTTCAACGCGCAGTGGTATATATTTCATTTCCAATCGCGCACCTGAAATGAAGCCTTTTTATACGCATTAAACTCAAGTGCGCTGGGGGAGGGTGGGTGGTTCTCACTATTGGCGGCTTTCTCACCTGGGGACGTAAATAAGCGTTTGTGCCTCAGAACCTTAAACCTCATTTTAGGGAGAAACCCCACAAGGGCCAGCAGTGAAAGCGTGTCTTCAAGGAAAGCTACGATTAACTGTATCCACAACGTTTCAGAACAGACACAGTCGCAGTTTGTTGTTTTTGTGACATGACCTCATTTACGAGTACAAAGAGAGCTAAGAGTGGCAGAAAGTGATTCGAAAAATTAAAATGGAGAGATCGTCTCCTCCGGTGTTGCCTGCACCGCGTGTTTGCAGAGTTGAGGGGGGTTAACTTCAGACGGAAAACTCTCCCCCACCCTACCTTCCGGGAAAGAGTAGGGGATTTAAAATCGCCTTTACTTATCTTCCTCTAGTCTCATCACTATTACTTTTTCATTTAAACTTTCAGGATCCTCAATGCCTATAGTAAACTGCCTTCCTTTCCATTCTCAGGAATCTTGACGCTTCCAGCTTCCGAACAGCAGCGGGGAGTTTTTTTGGTTTTCTTTTTTTGGGGGGGGGGGGGAGGCGGTGAAAGGAAGGAAGGAAGGAAGGAAGGAAGGAAGGAAGGAAGGAAGGAAGGAAGGAAGGAAGGAAGGAAGGAAGGAAAAAGCCTTGCCGACCGCGCGTTTCAAAAGCGCGTTTTCGTTTCCTCTCCCGGCAGGCCATGGCCCTGCCGGGCTGCCGTAGCCGGCCCCGCGCTGCCCCAGTCGCTGCAAGGATCCGCGGGCGGCGGGACTTCCGTGTTGGCGGGATTCTGAACGCTACCATGGCTCACACCGTGCAGAACGTTACATTGTCGCTCACTCTGCCCATCACGTGCCACATTTGCTTGGGGAAGGTAATGGGTGATCCGGGCACAGCTGCTGAACGGGATCGGGCATGAAGTCGCTCGCCGGAGCCCAGGGCGGTCTCCGTGTGTAGCGGCGAGATGGGTGAAGACGCCGACCCGTGTTCTCCTCCGGCGACGGGAGGCCGCGTCCCGGGGGACCGAGGGAGCGCACGGTGATTAATGGGTTCGCCCGTGCGCCTTTCGGAGCGGGTGACAGCGGCCTGGGGTCTGAATGAAGGGCGGCGAGGCCGCCCTGCCACCCTGGCGGCCTCACCCGGCGGAGGCCGGCGTGGATGGGGGCTTGGTCATTCAAGGATCGCAGCCTCGTTGCACGCTTCTGTGCAGCCCCGTAGGGCGTGCGGTGAAAGTCCGTGGAAGCACATTTCCTGGAGAACTCGCTTGAGATTCTTCCGTCCCCTACACAGCTAGAGTGTTCGTGTTCGCGGGCCTGCAGTGCTGGTTGGGAGTCTTTTCCATTTCCAAGATCATTCTCCTTTACCTTGCGTTCTCTTTGCTCTGGGTTCAGCATTTGAAAAGTAAATAACACGTGCCGCCGAATGGTGTTTAGAATGAGAGGTACGGCCTTTTATTTCAAGAACGGGTCGGTCGCGAGATAGAGCCCCCCTCTCTTTGTCATGCAAAAGGTGCCTAAGGTATGAAACGAGGTGGGGAAAGTTGCTCTGCACTCGAGCCCAGCCGAAAGGCCGAGATAGGGAGAGCCGTTCTGAATTCTCTCGGAGTTTTGAATGTTCTGATGCATTCGTCTCCGCTTTCTTTTCCGTTTGGGGCTCTCATTCGATTTTTAAAATAGCATTTCTTCACCGTGTAGATCCAGAAGGGAGAAGATTCCGTGAACAATTAGTTTTTTTCCCCCCCCCGCTCTGATCTGTTTTCACGTTTGTGGGGTGTGTGTTCACCCCCAAGTGCAGGCGGCACCTACAGCCACAGGCTCAGAGTTGAGAACTGCAAACTTCATGGAGCAAGTATCTGCGCGCCAGCCAATACGATCAACTGCGTTGGGTTTGGGGGGCTCTGTGAGAATTTACTGAATTCAAAAAATAGGAGGAAGTCAGACTTGGGAGCAACTCATCATTCTCGATGCCTTTCAGAATGAGATGCCAACAAAGGAGCAAGTGTGTTGTGAGAACACAGAGGGGGCGGCTTGGTCAGTTCTGACTGGAGAGAAGAAAGATGCGGTCTTGGGGGCGGTACGCGCACTGGCGTTGCTACCACTGCCTAGTACCTGGCTGGGAGGAGGAAGAGGTGGTGCTTCTGTTTGATACAGTCTGCGTTTGGCCCTTAACATGAAGTTCCCACAAGTATTTGTTAAATTTTGACTGAATTCCCTCCAACAGTAGCCTTACAGGCTGATAAAAAACATCCTTGGGAAATAATTTTTACTGGATCTTAATTGTATAGGTATATCTGCTTTCCATTAGGTAAGGGGCTGTCTTCTGCAATTGTGTTGAAAATGTGTTCTCTCTGGTTGATTTTCCGTACCTATGCTTTTCCTATTTAACAAAAATTATGCCTAATAGGATATAGTGATTTGCAGATTACAGGATGCTTTCATATGTGTTTACTTCATTTACACATCTCACCAGGGCTGTGGGATAGAGTAGGCTGGTTTCCCCATTTTTTAAATAAGAAAACTAAGGCCTAGGGCCTCTGGTGTTTGAACTTCTATTTCTGCCACTTGTCTCAAGTAGATTACTTCTTAAAAACTCACTTTAGCTCAACCATGACAGCAGACACCTTTGGTATCTCTTTTATTTCCCTGTTTTAGTTAAGTTTTATTCTAAAATTAAATCTTATAATAAAAGATTAACAATCTGTAAGTTTTTTCTGTCTGCTATGGAAGCAGAAAAGTGTGGTGTTTGGGGGCTTGAGTTCTGTGTTCAGACTGCCTGAGTTCTAATCTAGGCTCTTCCACTTACTAGTTGTTTGACCTCATATAGGACAAGTTACTTAACTCTCTTAATCTCTTTCACTGCAGTTACCTTATCTATAAAATGGGAATGATAATAGTATCAACACCCATCCTTGTGGTTATCAGATAATTACATACAGTAATTCATATGCAGTGTTTTGCATAAAATCTGGCAAATAATACTATTCAACAAACATTGCTCCTCACTATGGGCACGGAGGCAGGCCAGCAAACGGAAACCGGCCTTTTCCAGTGACCATTCGCCGCAGGTGCTTTGCGAGGCCAGGGAACTCACTAGATGAAGATTTGCTTCCCCCACAGAGTGGGGGCCTGATTGTTCTGGAAGTTGCCACAGTACATTCAGAGGTTTTAACTGGTTCCGTACGACTCTTGCCTTTCGTATAGCTGAAGCAAATCTAATCTGCTTTGGCTCCTCAGCCCGCCACACACACCTCTGTTTGTGGGGTTCTGGAGATCGTGGCCTGGAGTAGCTCCATGTCCCCAGGGCCACTTCACCTTCCTGACACAGCATCTCCAGCTACCTCTGAGATTTGCCTTCAGGTACTTCTTGCCTCACCCTCTTTCAGGGAATCATTCTTGTGCTGCCCTCACCATTTGTCCCCAAATCTGGCCATGAGCAATCTTCTCTTTTAATTGTTCCACAGAATTAAGGGGCCATTATTTCTGTGTGTCACTACATGAGAGAAAGAGTGTGTATTACCTTAAAGGTGCCAGGGTTATGATAGACTTTAAGTCTTAAGAAATAATATAGATGCTGATTGGGATGAGGGGTGGGGAAGAATGTGGAGGAAGGAAGTGGTGGGGGTAGCCTAAGTACGTGGGTGGTTAATACTTTGTCCTTTGAATACAAATGTAGTATTCAAAATAGGAAAGTGTAGACACTTAGTATCTCTATCTCTGCCCCAGTTTTCAAAGTGGATTCTGTGTGCCCAGAATGTTCTATCACCTTGCCAGTATTGAAACTGAGAGCTCCCTGCGGCCTGAAGAAGTACACGTCCTGTGGGATGATGCATGTATAATATTTTCGTGCCTATTTCTCCTTAGTTTTTTCCCATGCCTTGGATTAGTGGGCCAGCAGAAATATAGGGATGATCTAGCCCAAAATATCTGTTAAGAGACATTTTGGTACTGCCCGTACAATGCTACAGACCAGTTTAATCTCAGATAATTCCAGATATTTATCTCCTCAATTGGGATTCAAGCTGTGAAACCAAATTGTTGTTGCATGTAATACTTTTGTTTGCCATCTCTGTGTTTTGCCATGAGTGACAGCTAAATGTGACCCACAATTAGTTTTAGATGAAAAGTTACAGATTTGCAGGGTTAATCATTCTGCACCTAGGCCCCTCCACCCCCCCCCCCCCCCCCCAACACCAGCAGGCCCATTCCAGTGGAAGAGAAGACTTTCAGACCTTGCTTTACCTTCTCCCCCTCCTCCTCCTCCTCACTAGCCTCGGGGGCATTACCCTAGGATATCACTTCAACATGCTTACTTCATGTGAGTTTGGAATTGTACATGTCACTTACCCTTGCTATGGTCATCTTGCATTTTTATTTCATAAGAATACTGTTTTATTGGCAGAAAAATAATTTGCAATTAAATTAGATATAAAATCTAATAACATAGGCAAATTAGGACTTTATGTATCTTGGGAAGATCTTATTAAAGACCTTTATGTGTGTGTTTTGGTGTTGTATATAGCAGGATCCAAACTGAGGAAGAGGGGTGGACAGGAATTGAGAGAAGGAATAGATTCTTTGTATTTTGCTCCTGTAGATTACAGTCAAGTAAGTAACCAGTATTCTAATTTCGTTTAGTGCTCCTTTCTCCTATATAGGTTGTTGTACTCCTCAGCTAAATGTAAACCTAGGGATCATCCTCTGATAAGTTCTTGGTCCAAAGAAATGAATTAGTCATCTGTTTCAAAAATCCAATGCAATGACAGTGACCGTACCAGATAGTGAACACTAACAATGATTCTCCTGTAGGTGACATTGCCAATGGCTCGTAATAGACAGTCAGGTAATCTGCCTGGTTGTTCTTGTGCATCATTTTGACAGATTAAATGGAAAGATTAAACTCCCATTTTTTTTACAGTTTCACAGTGGCCATTGACTTTTTTGCACCTTGAAATGCTTTTAGGAGCATTATCTCAGTTTTTCATTTTAATATGTCAAAATTCACTTTTATTTTAGAGTGTGTGAGGCATTGCATCAGGTGCTGTAGGTGAATACAAAGATGAGCAGGACACTGTCTCTGCCCCCAAGGATCCTGAAATCTAATACTGAAGGCTGGATGTATTCAATGGTCTAAGTACAGCACAGCACAGAAAGAACTGAACATTAAATCCGTGCCTGAGGAGTACTCTTATGAGGGTCAGACAAAGACCCAGGTACTTCTAAAAAGGATTAGTGAAAGCTTGCAGAGGAGATGGCATTTTAGTTTCCTCTTAAAAAGTGGAGGGGATTTTATCTTGTTTGGGGAAGCTGGAGACCAGCAGGACAAATAAAGGTAAAAAATGAGAGCACAATAAACTGGGGAGAGTGGTGTATAAGGGGACTAAATGGTAATAAACAGGGAGCCTCCACTGTTGGTATTCTTTTTAGAGAACATCAGGTTGACCTGTGTGGTTGAATTGTAGGTTACGGCAAGTATTGAAATAGGAGATCAAGGGAAATAGCTCTTTAAGAACCAGATTATGTTGCTCTTGAATGCTATACTTAAAACTGATAGGGGAGCTCAGGAGTTCAAGATTTTAGCTTCAGTCATAGTTGATAGGCTTAAGTGATTAATGCATGTGGCAAGCTATTGCTCCAGGAACTGGAATGGATGGCCTACGTGACTTGAGGTAACAAGCAATTCAATCTCTGTGCCCTAAGGAGACTGGGAGAGGTAGAGATGGGATGGAGATGGTTTGCGAGCCATTGTGTTCCAGGGAGGGAAATGTCAGTTGCAGAGAAAGGAGTGTTGATCAACAGATAAAGAAATACTAGGAAAATTACCACAGGACTGCAACGCTCATCTGATTTACCTTTTTCCAACCCCCTTGCTACCCTT